CTCCTGGCAATAGAGATTAGGAGAGGGAGGCTTGGGGCGCTAAGTGCACGAAATGTATAAAATTGTGTATGGTTATGTGTTGTTGCTGCTCAAATTTGAGGACTCATAGAGGCTTATATATTATCCTCAGGTGTGTCAAGAGTGTGTGTCCGAGAAACCAGCATCTGCTGTGCTCAGTCGAATGTTCATCAAAAGAATTGTTCGCCTGGAATGCGCTACACTAAATTAACATGAAATAAAGAATAGCCCAGCACTCTGAACTCCGCTGCACTGATTAACTTATTCGTGCATTACGAGCCTGAAGGTCAAGAATTTTTGACTCACACCGTCAAACAGTTCATCCGTACGATGACGATGCTTTAACCACTTTTAATTTACGCCAATCGCAATTTTCGCTAAAATCCTAAGCCAGAGGATTTATTTCGTGTCTGGTTGCTTTATTCCGTGTTGCAGCAGAAAAGAGTGAAAATCGCCATAAAACATACTCATCTCTTTCGCCCTTGCATAAATCGACCGGCCTTTCCTTCGATGTACCAGCACGGCTTACATATATGCGCACATCGTAGCGATACACAATTCGATTTTCAACTTCCAGTGGATAAATATTCGTTTTCACGAACACCGTTTCCCGCTGTTCTGCTGGCGGCAATTTTGGAGCCATAACGCAGGGTAATGCACCACGCTGCCCAATGCCACTTCGATCACTGCAATGACAAACTTCTAATGAGGTTGCCCACACGAAAACCGCCAATTTAGCTATTGGAAATGCACTAACAAGCACCCCTTCCCCGTCCCCGTCCCCGCTTAACTGTATTTTTATCCTTTGAATATTAAGAACAACACGCATCCTCTTGAATCATTTTGCTTCTTTCCAATTTTAATGCTTTTCTGATTGGTTAAATTAGTTTTCTACCTCTCAGCTGAACCTCATATCCCTCTTTCAACCTTTTGCACCTTCACTTCCTAACTCTTTTAGCATATCTCTCCTCCTACTCCCTTTTCCACCACTACCGCAAAACACAGCGACCGCTGGCTCGACCTCCTGGCTCTCCTACTGAAAAAATTTCAAGTGATCAAAACAGTTGATTTTATTTAAACAACAATTTTGCTCAATTTGCTTCCCAGTAAGCTCACCAGCAACCCAACCAGCGAATAACACCAATCAAGCCAGTACGAAGAAGCAGCTGCTGTCCAAACCATAAACCTTCTGCAACTGCCGTGCGCGGAAAACGATAGAACAGCAGAAAAAGCATCG